TTGTGATCGTTGCAGGAGGTTTCCCAACCACAGGTGTGGAAGACACTGGGTTGGCAAACCTGAATTTCACGTTCGGCTGGTTGTCCTAGGGGTGCTGGGGGTGTATGTTGTTACACGGTGGTACATGCCATGAAGTGTGGAAGTGCTCTGCCATCTCCCTAATGGAGGGGTACATGCCAGGGGCTTGGCCTTGCTGTCACGGGTTGGGGGAAAGCACTGCCAGTGTGGTACAGCCTCTGAGACAGCAGCATGGGGGCATGAGTACTTGTTGCTGAGCCCTTCAGAGGCTGGTGTTTAGCTAATTAGGAAGTACCCCAAGTGCTGGGGGTGTGCTTGAAAGGAAAAAAGTGTTGTCGGGGTCTTTGGGGTGAATGTGGGGCTGGTGGAAAGAGGGGGGAGGACTCATTTTATCTCACGAGCAGATGTGAAAAGGTGTCAGCTGTTTACGCCCACTGCACCCGGGACTAGCATGGCTTTGCTCTCGGACTGGGGACTCCCCCCTGCTGCAGTGGTGAGATATGCTCCACACTTGCATGAGTTTCTGGTTGGTGGTGTGGGCTTGGACCATGGTTTCAGCCACTGTTGATGGCCCGGATCTGATCCTGCTTGCTGCAGGTCACTGGCCAGTGTGGCACTTTGCCAGTAACCAGGAGATTTCATCCTATTCCACGCTTTGCTCATACCAGCCTCTAGCACCAACCCACCCGGCCATGTTTCCACCACTCCCCTGAGCGTAATTTCATTGCACTTACATCTAAAGTACAGAAACTGTTATTGCAGTAATATGGCTTACTGCAAAATATCAGTACATTCCATTTCCCTGGTGGGAAAGTTGCATGTCTGACTTTCAACCCCAGCAGGCTCAATGGATCCATTTTTAGTGTCAGTTAGGTTTAGTTTTACATTGACCATCATAAAGTGGTACAGCCAAATACATTGTAAGATGTATTTTGGAGCCCTGGCTAAATGACACAGGTACTGATTTCAATACTGTTAAAACCGAACAAATGAACAGCTGTTTTTGTATTGACTCCTAAGCTGACAAGCTGCTTTTAACTGGGTGTCCTACACGAGCATTGCTGTTTTGTAAGCTGAAGCATTACATCTGACTTAAGTGTTCACCTCCAGTTGGACTTTATAAACATGTTTTCCATGAAGGGAAGAGGGGAGGACTTCCTGTGTGGACAATTTCCTCAAAGGGAGCACAAGCATCAAATTTTCTTGTTTGTATAAAATGTTGCTTTTGCACACAATAAAAAGCAAAAATTCTTGCGGCTGTTCAGTTGGGGTAATTTTAGGAATTATCAACAAGCAAAAAGGAAGGGAAAGGTTATGTTGTAATTAAAAAAAGATGGCTTTCAAAGTCCTTAAAAATTTTGTGTATCCTAATGCTGTCCTACATATGGTTTGAGGCTGTAAAAGAGCTTTGGGAGACATTTTCTCAGTCCTTCCCAGTGTCGGATCAAATTTTCTATTACTGGACATGCTTGCAAGGGGCTTTGGTAGAAGAAGTTAACAGCAGCTCACCCATTAGCGTCCTGAGGTGTTGTTTGAAAATAGTGCAAGTCCAAGGTACTGCCAGCAAAGTGGTCAGGGAGTGCTCTCTGCAGAGGCTGCCAAATACGAATAATTTTCTGCATGGGGCTGTGTATTTGGAGCTGATTAAACTCATTAAAGTGGCTGAAGGAATGAGGGTGTACTCAGGAAAATCCTCTAGGAAAATACATATTTTCCTAGAGGATGGGCATTAGTCTGGGGCAGGGTCAGGCTAATGGCTCAAGCTGCCTCGCCTCCCAAACATGGGGTGGAGCCAGGGGCTCTGGCAAGCGGTGCAGGACCCACACGATCAGCATAGCTCTCACTTTAACATGTCTGTAACTCCTAAATCATTAACCTCAGTGATTATTTTGGGCAAGCTTTCCACAGACAAGCTGCATGTCATTATTAGTGGGGCTTTTTAAGTTCCTACCTATTTATTTCATCAGCTGTCCCAGTGACTTTATATTGTGGTACATTTGTTACTTCCTTACTTGTGTTTTAAAAAAGATGCTGCCCCTTTCTACCAAGGAGAACACAGGCTGCTGGCAGCATGCTAGCTTATTTTTGCATCCTTGTTCCTTTAGTTTTGGTTAGTGACCTTCACTTGCTCCACAGTGCCCAGGGTAGTATCTTAGGTATCAGCCAGGATACATGTCCTCACCCTACTGCTTCAGGCACATGTTAGGTGTGGGTGGCCTCTAGCTGGCAGTGGCTGCTGAGCTGAAAAACAGTAAAGTTTTAAATAGCAGAAGTAGATGCAGTAAGAGCTTTTAGCTGACCCAAAATTGTCATGTATAGCTGGAGGCAAGAATGACCAGGGTATGGTAAAAGAGAAGAGTATCATGTCCTGTGGTGGTGTACATGGATTGAAAAGAAGAAAATACAGTACTTTGAGAGGAATGCATGTCCAAGAGGAGAATGACCATTGTTGTAGCTTCCTTTAGTTTATGGATAAAGAAGTGTAAACTGCTCTTCCAGTCTTAAGCAAACAGAAGAAGCTGGTTCCTAAGCTCTGTGTTTATGTAGTTCCTTTCCAGGTTAGCGCATCACCCAAAAAAAAGGAGATGGTTGTTGGCATCCTTATCCTCCCCGAGCTCCACCCCCACCCCCCCACCCCCCCAGCATTTCTGGCCTTTTTGTAGACATGGGAAGGGAGGAAGGAGAGAATGCAAGGAGAAAATTGGTCTTCAATTCCCAAAGCAGCATGTGGACTTTTGCATTCTTTAGTTTAATTCCCTTTTTTTATGAGAAATCGTTCAAATAATGAAGCTTTTTTAAAAAAACTTAAGTTCATGCATCTTATGATTTATTTGTGCTGGGTTTTGTTTGGTTTTTTTTTTTTTTGCTGTTATTGTCTGGAGAAGATGAGTTCCTGTCAAAAAGAGCTTAAAAATTTCTTTGGATGCTCTTTTATTCCCTGTGAGGTCTAAAAATAGAGGCTGATGAGGAATTGCTTGTAGACTCGCTGTTCTGCTTGGAAGGTTTAGCTCATGTCTTCTGACATTGCAACAGCTGAGTTTTACAGAAGCACCAAGGCTGGGCTTACTGAGTGTAAGCAAGGAGGAGACCAAATCTGTTTATCAGCTGTCTTGCTCCTTTCCTCCCATCTCTATCCTTGGGCAGAAGACCTTAATCTGAGTGCCATGGCAGAGCACAAAGAAATGTGGGTCAATGTGAGATCAAGACATTGTGCTGGGAGCACAGGAAGGTTGAGGTTTTATTTACTGGCAGTGCTGCTGTGTGAGCTGGTTGTGGGGAGTGTGCATAGCAAGTAATTGCAGCCTTACATTTAGTGATTCCTGTAACTAGAAGACTTGGCCAATATATTTAGATTTCGTTGTATTGCCATAGTCTAGTGGCAAAGAATTAATCACTATGGCCACAGTTTGCCATAATACTTTAAAAGCTTGGTGCAAATTGGGAAGGAAATTGGGAAATGTGTGTAATCTGCATTATGATGTGTGTAAACCTCATTATAAGTTACTCAATGATAGTGTATATGTAATGTAATCTGTATTATTGGTTACTTGACAGAAGTAACCTATAACAGCACTCTGAAAGGGTGTGAAGTCTTCTGCACTTTGGGGGTCTCTGAGTTGTCGTATCCAGGTGCTGGAGGCGTGACAGCAGGGAAATTCTGCACAGGACAGCCCAGAAACATGGAGAAAAGTCCATTTGCAGGTGCTTGTGAGGGGGATCGGAGGAGAGGTGGTGTTATTAGAGTGGCTGCTTATGACGAAAGGGAGCTGCGCTTCCTCTCCCCAGCGTCAACACACACTTCCGCCTCCCAGCACTGGCTGGCTTCTAACAGAAGCGTTGCACTTTGGGGTGATGTCTTGATTTCACACTTGTGAAACCAGATCATTGCTTAAAAACTTGTTTTAAAAACCTGATAGCTATACGTTGGGCTCTGGTGTCCTTTGAACTGCGTTAGCTGTGTGGATATGTTGGGTAGGTACCGCAAGTGCTGAAAGGTGGCTCAGGTGGCACTGCTGGTGCCAGCTCTTCTGCCATACAAGTTGGTGACGTTGTGTTACTTGTCTTAACCTGAACAAAGTCCTGGAGGAATGGCCTGGACCCTCCACTTGGCAGCAATATGCTCTTAGATCAGTGAAGTCGGGTGTAATACTGTGCCTTTGGCTTGGGCAGGGGGCATATTCTGCCTGCTGAATTGCCAGTAGCATGTGTTTGCTGGTACAAAGGTGTGATAGAGTCAGAGATCTGCATGGGAAGCCCTCCATCCCCTGGCACTCAACCAGGCCAGAAAATGGGCTGAAACACAGCTCCCCTGCTGCAGACCAGGTGCTGAGTTGTGTCTTAGCTGAACATCCCTAGGTAAACACCCTGGACAAGATGATGTGCAGCTGGAAACACGCAGGCTGGTTTTCAATACCTGGCATGTATGGTCAGATAGTTATAAAACTCCTGCCCAGCCCCAAACAAAATCCCTATAATGAGTCCTCTGTGTTAGCACAAGTCCTGGCTGGGCTGATGCTGTGAGTTGGGTGGGGAGGAAACTCATCCAGAAAACACCACCAAATCAACAAAATCTGAGCAAGGGTTTGCTTGCAGCACAGATGAGTGTAGTTTACTTTCTGCCATTGCGTGCCCTCCGCTTACAGCCTATCCCTGCCCCAGCAGTCTGAGATGCTGCCTTGCTGCCCACTCCAATGCAGCACTTTCCTCTGAATGTAAATCATGGTGCCTCTGCTGTACCAGAACTGGAAAACTTAACTCCCTTATTCCTTTGCAGTGAGCCTGGGGGAAGAGAGAGCCCGTGTGTGGATTGCCTTCCTCCTTGCCTTTTCTCCCAGCCACTTGGAGCGAGCTCTCATGTGCCAGAAGAGGGAAGAGGAGAGCTTCACTGAATTGGGACAGCACGAGTGAGGACAAAGTGCATTTGGCCAGTGGTCTGTGGTGGCTGGGGGTCCTCACCACCCCGTGGCGGAGACAACCAGCTCCTGCCAGGTAGATGCCCACAGGGAAGAAGACAAGTTCAGCTGAGCTGATGCATCTCGGCACCTGATACCAGATTCAGGTAAGGGCATGTTGCTTGGAGCTGGGTTTTACTTCCATGTTTTCTTCTCTGAACTCACAAACCAGCTCCAGAGTAGGTGAGAATCACCCCAAGAGCTGTTGTGTGCTGTGGGTCAGTGTGCTGATAAATCTGTGGGGTGTTGTCTGTGATGCTGCTGTGACTTTGGTAGTGGCCTCAAAATGAGGTTCTCACTTGGGTGTTCCCAGTGGCTCTGCTAAAGGAAGTGAGCATGTTTTTATCCATCACAGCATCCAGTGCGGGTTCAGATACAGTTTACTGGGACAGGAGCTCGTCTGAATTTTCTGTAAGACATCTGTGATTCATTTAAAGTGATCTATGGGCAGTCATTTCCAAAGACCCTGAGACAGTTAAAACATAAACCTCCTTGCAATTCAACTAGTTACTGCTCCTTATACCCTTAAAAAAACCCAGACAAACCAGCTTGCTTGTGTGTTCCTGAGTTTTTGTTGTAGTCAAGGAAATAAGCATGCAAACAGGATCTCCTGTATGTTGGTTCATCCTGCTTGGTAGTAATTTCATTCCTGAAGTTGTAACTGACTGCGAGTGGAAGTCTGGATTCCTTTTTGGTAGCAGAATTGGGAGTGAGTACCAGATTTGGGCTAAGGTTGGTGAAGTGCAGTCAGTGGTGTGTGGTATTGGAGCTGGTGCCTGGCCAGGGTGTTTGCAGTCTGGGTTTGTTAATGAGGGAGGAGCTGTAGGTAGGGATCAGCAGAAGTCCTCAGGGTAAGATCCTTGAATGTGTTGTCCATTTTGGGATTGAAATTTGGTTTTCTAGTAAACAATACTGTGGCAGCTGTGACGATGGAGGTGGGGACGCTGGCCAGTCTTGTACCAAGACCTCAGCAGCACCTTGATTTCCATGTGGGGAGCCATGTCTTCTGAAGCAGAAGCTCTGCTCGCTTCTGGCAGCACATGGCCGTCACTTCCTTCTGCAACTCGTCACCTCCTGGGCACGCAGGCATGCGTGCCAGCACCTGCCTGCAGCAGCCTGCAGCTCCTCCTGGGTGTCTTATGAGGCTTTGAGGTTTCCTTGGGTCGTGGCAATGCAATTGAAGCAGACCCAAAGCCGTACTCATTTTGGCTGTGCTTGGCAGGTGTATGCAGTGGTGTAACCCCGCGGCTTTGCTTTTGAGAGGCTTTAAGCATGTGGGATGACAGCCCCTCTCAGATCGCAGCTGCTGACTGTGCCCCCCAGATTATACCAGGATGGGGAGTTGGCACATAGCTAATAGTCTGCATGGTTTGAAGCGTGCTAAGGTGCCGTTTGATGCACTTAAATCCCCTCCCGATAGGGTTTATTCAACACTCTGCAGCTTGCTATAGCCTCTTCGCAAGCAGCCTGTTGCACCGCTTCATGTGGCCAGGTTTATTCCAGGGTGTGCGAGTGCACGAGTCACTGTTAAAACTGGAAATAGCTTTAGAAGTGAGAGCAGTCCTTTGCTGAGAAGTGGTGCTGACTGCAGGTGTAGCTCATGCAGGGGTCTCGCCTCTTAGCAGATGTCGTATAAGCATTTTCACTTGCATAGATGCTTAAGCATTTACTTCAAGCCTGTTCCACTAAAAGAGAAATTGCAGGCTTGTATCTTAGATGGCTGAAAACATAAAACCCTGTGTTAAAATGTGCTTTTAAAACAGAACAAGAAGCAGGAACAGCAGCTTGTTGAGTTTCGGCAGCAGATGTGGCTGAAATAAGTTTGTACCTTTACTAGTTTATTCCACAGCAGTAGTTTCAGTTTTATACACACCAGCGTGGCGTTTTAGTATGGGTGTCAAAAAAGTTGCCTCTATTTCTCCTTTTTCAATGACATTCTGCTTGCAATAGCATGCAGAACAAAAATAATTTGGTTTTGTGGGTTTGGGTGCAGATGGGCAGGGGAAACATTACAAGCCACGAGAGGTTACTGAAGCAAAAATGCAAATTTTATACGTTTTGCCCTGGAGATCTACCATGCTAAGGAGGGGTGCAGGCAGTTGAAATGGCTCTCCTTGGGGAGGTAACAGTTAAAATTTCATAACTCAACTGTATTTCACTGTATGCCTGCATCATGCTTGCCTTTAATTTGCTCTGACTGGTGGATGCAGCAAAAAAAGAGAAAGTTACCGAAACATATAGTCTGTATCCTCAGGTGGCTTGAGTAGATACTTTTCTACAACATGAAATGTTTAAAAATTGGGTTCTAGAATATCCCCAAATCTAGCTTAAGGTTGAGAACATGATGCTATGTTGTACTTCTGAAAAGAGGAGATTTTACTGAGATTTTAGTTTTCCAAAGCCCTTCTGCCAAGTGATGCTGAATCTACTTTGCAGCAAAATGGTCAAGTCAAGCAATGTAAGTATGATGCTAGCACAGCCTGGCAATATAAAACTTGTCTAAAACCAGAATAAAAGCATGTAAAGCTTTTGTACTTTCTTTGTAAGGAGGCAGAAAGGGCTTGGAGAGACTAAAAGTTCAGCAGCTCAGATGTGATGCTGGTAGTAGCATCACCACAGCTACTCCATTCAAAGGCTGGGAAAATGCTTTCTGGCCAAGGTCCCAACAGCAAAACCACTTTGTGAAGAGGGCTCAGAGGAGCCTCATCTGGAACCATGCTTGCAGTGAATTTCTGAGAGGTCATCTCGAGACATGCTCATATGCAACCGCCTGCAACCTTCTGCAGGACCGGGCCCATCAGCTGAGCCTTTGCTGTCTCAGTTCCAGTCCATAGCCAATTGCATTTTTGATGGATCAGATTCTGCATACTGATCTCGCATCCTGGTGGAGTTTAATGGAAGTTTGTCTTTGTTTCATTTAAATTGAGCAGTGGGGAGAGGAAGACCTTGGCAAGCAACCTGTGGAAAGAGCTGGGAGTACCTATGCCTTCTGCAGGTCTTGGCACAAAGGGAGCAAACCAGGCAGGATGATTGCTAATGGGTTTATAAGCAGGAGACATCATGTCAAGATTGGGGGTGACAGGGGACATGTGTGTTCGTTTCCCTCGGTCATGGCATGATCAGCACTGCCACTGGGCCATGGGAAACACTCAGTTCCTCTTCTGGGCAGTGAGCAGGGTTGCAACACCCAAGTTGAGTGGGCCAGAGGTTCCCATGCTCCTGGCCAGGCTGGTCCTGGTAGGTACCACCCCATGCGAGGCTGTGGGAGCTCAGCAGGTATTACTGGAAAAACACAGGACTTTTGGGGGAGGGTAATAACAGTAAATCTGATTTACGGATAACAATTTTGGCACCAAGTCTTGGATTTTTGATTCAGACACCTTCTTTCTGCTGCCAATACTTGAGGTCCCAGCTGGTGAATTAATTTCAGGGATGTTGTTCTCATTCAAAATGTGGATATTTTATTTCAGGTTTGCTGATGGCTAGGTAGAGTTCCATGCTGGTGGGCAGTAACATGCATTTTCATTAAGCATCTTCAAGCTTACTGTTTTGGGGATTGATTTTTACTTCCTTAAATTGGAAGCTGTCCGTATGACAGATGGTGGGGTTTTTCGACTCATTGTTTTTCAAAGGAACTAATTGTTAACTTTGTTTCCTAGTTGAATTTAAGTGTGCATGTCTTGGGGCATCTTTTGCTTATAGCCTAGTAAATTTATTTATTGCCGTTCTCACATTGTTCACATTTACTTACCATTCCTTTTCACAGCTGCTTCACCTTGTGTGTTTATCATGCAAAAAAACCCCAACCCTGTTTGCTGAGAAAATATGGAATTCATAGAAAAAATTGGGTGGCAAGCTGGAGAAAGTAATTTGAGTGGTGTATTAAAAAGAAAAAGTAAGTCTTCAGTCTTATATATGGAGAAGTGTAGCAGTTACAGACTGCGCCTATTTATAGGTAGCCTATTTATATCCAGGCAGAATGATGTGTATCATCAAACTCTCCAGAAAATAAATGTCTCAGTAGTTTTCATATAAACAATGTGTCATTTCCCTCAAGCAAATGCTATAACTTTATGGTGTCAAGCTACTCTGGAGTTAGAATATGCGCTCTTATATTAGATAATAAATACACCCATATCCAATGTATGAATTCAATTTATACATTCAATTGTATTATATATACAATATTCAAACTATCCGCATTATTTATTTTATTAAATAATTAAAATACCTATATTCAATATCTTTATTCCACTGAGGCTGTTACAAAGCTAAGCTCTATTCTGTTGCTTCTCCAGAGCACTTTGAAAATCACCTAGTCAAGCACAGCCTTGGGTTTGTACTCCAAAAAGCGGCAGGGTCGTGGTCAGAAGCCACGGCGGGGGCGGCCACCTGCCATCTCCATCCCTTTCACTGCCATCAACATTTTCTCTGCTTTCCAGTTTTCCTAAAATTGGACTTTTGCGCTGTTATAGCAGAAAGAGAAAACAAATGTGCACATTCCAGGCATAAGGTGCAAAACTGTCTCCTTTGCACCACTCTGGTGTTTCTGGCTGCAGAGGGGCTTTTGCAGAAGCAGATGCCAAAATATGTGTGGTCTTGCTGCTGTCTCCTGCTGTGTAAACCCTCCCATGTTACCAAGTCACTCTTCCTTTGGTTATTCTTCCTTTGGTTACAGAGTGTGGTCAAAGACATTCAGAATAAATTTCTCTTTGTAAATGTCTTGGAAAAAATGACCATTTAATTTGACACACAGTTTATTTTTTCCTTCAAGCTTGCAGAATATTTGTATTTTTAGCTGCATGTAAAGAACCTAATTTGAATTTTTTGGCCCCTTAACTAACTACCAAGAAACAAATGTCAGAAGTGGGGGAGTGAATTTGTCTTTGAGTTAAACTTCATGGAAGAAAGATGTGAGAAGGAGAAGATAGAGCTAGATTAGATGACACCATGAGACAGTTACTCAGACCTTGCTACTTTGAAAAACGAAGCTGTGATTAACATGTATTGAGCAAAATTCACAGGAACATTTGAAGTAAGAGATGTAGCTTGGAAAAATAAGGGAACAAAATACACTTTAATATTTCCATCCTTGCTTTGTTTTGATTGTGGAGTCAATAATGGGGAAAGATACACCCATTCCTGC